TAATAGGTGAAACATCTTTATTTGTACAGCAGACTTTTAAAGAAAGCAAATGTATAATTTGACATCATTCCCTCTAATCTTTTATCAAATTTTCCCAGTTCATAATCTTATTCACAAGCTTCAATTTGATTGCTCCTTTGTGATTTATTTACTTCCTTAAGATGTAGGGTCAAAACCCTCCTTCAAACTTTAAATGAATTTGCTGTCAAAATGCCTCAAGTGTTCTCATGACCAGGAGTTAACTCCTTATCAGTAAGGAAAGTTGCCTTTCTTTTCTTTTCTCACTTAATTTCATCCTCTCTCTAGACAAGCCCTCCCTCCCCCACCAAAAAAAGAAAATGACAGTACTCTAAAGCACATTTGATTTCATTTTCTCTTTATATTCCTTTCTAATAAGAAAGGGACTTTCCATTTTTCCAGGAGGGATAAAAAAAAAAAATACCTTTCTCCTAATTAACTAACTGAGAGATCACTGGCCTTTAAATTCAAAAGTACAGTTTACAGATTAAACGTTTTTACCGATTTCTTTGCCAATTGTTCCAATGTATAAACTTTGGATGCAAACTGCTTTCTGGTGTAGCAAAATAATTTAAATTTTAGATCAGAGACTATTTCTTAACAATTAAAGTCACTTCATGACAAGGTAGTTGCAGGCGAAGGATTTCAGTGGGACCAGGAGCATTCTGGGATGGAGTCGTGGAACAGCAAGACTTGAATCATGTATAGGTGAGAGTCAGATAGATTTGGGGCAGGGCAGCTGTTGAGGGAAGCAGGTGAATAAAAAAGCATGAGCAAAGCTGAGGGCAGGGTGAGCATGATAAGTTTAGATGATCGTGGTAAGAGTAGTTGAGATTGATTTGGAAAAGGCCGGGAAAAAATTTGGGATGAAACATATATCAATCAACTAAAAAACGCATATTAAATGCTTCCTATGTGCCAGATACTGCTCTAGGCACTATGGATGCAGGGGTAAAGAGGACAAAGATTTCTGCAGTCAAGAAATTTACACTAATGTTTGTGGTGTAGTAGAGGATAGAAAATAACTATGTAAATATTTTAAAAAGATATTCAGATTGGGATGAAGTTTGATCGATTTATGTGATTGTGATAAAAGAGAATGAAATAGACTATAGCCACCAGATTTTTTTTTTTAATTGTGTGCCCTTTTAAGTAAAATTAGAAGAGATATCCCTTTGCCAGTATGTTTATTCTTTTGTTAGTTTATATTTGAATTATTAGTATCACCTTCTGTATGAATATTTTAGTAGGAATCTTTTAAAGCCACTTGCTCATTTCGTGAAGGTTGGTTTAGTTAGCGCGCTATCTTATAATCCTCACAATCCTGGTTCTAGTTTAGAACTAGCCAAAGAGAACTGTGCTCACATTAGTGGCAATCCATTGTTGTAATGTGCAGAAAGTGACCGACTGAATAAGGGCACTCATCCATTTCTCCCAGTTGTGGAATTCTCATTTTTACTGCGGGAAATCAGCATATAATAGACCACCACCAGACAACTGTATTGACGGAGGGTGCCAGTACCAATTGCTGGATTCAGACTTATAGTAAATCTTCAGTTTTTTATTTGTTAAAATGTTATATATTATATATATCATGTTCAAATATATGTTTTAATATATATTAAATATGTTACAAATATTCTCATTTCTCCACCCCATCGGGTGCCCACACCTCACTCTGGAAAGCACTACCATAAAGAGGGGCTGGGGAGGGGATGGCTATTTCAATAAGGGTGGTAAGGGAAGGAGACTGTGAAATGACATTTAAGCTAAAAATCAAATATTGAGGTAGGAACAGCCATGCAAAGAAGAGTGCTTCAGGTACAGGTGTCTCAGGGAAGCAGAGCCACTCTGAATATTACGGGACACAATGATTGACATCAGGGATCAGATCTTACACAGATGAGGGAGGGTCTCAAGGAGTGGAAGTCCAGGAAGATACTCAAGGGGTTGGAAAGAGATTCACTGACCAATCCATCAGAAGCACTGGTACAGCTGGACAAATAAGAGTTCATGAGAAAATCCAAGAAGCCAAAGCTATCCAGTTGCCAGGTAGGGACTGCTAGGGGCCTGTGGGAAGTTGTTGCTTCTATGTAACTACCCCTCTGAGGGTCTACTTCCAAGTATCCGGTAGAGGGCCTGGGACCATTCTTAGTCATGAGGCCAACAGTCATGAAGATGAGCTGAACACAGAAGAGAGCAAGGGCAGGCTGGGTTCCACTGGATACCACTGTGTCTGTCATTATATCTAGCCAGGTGTAATGTCCACTCCTTCACTTCTGTTTTATAAATCTTGCACAAGTACCTCTTTGGCTAACTAACCTACAGTCATAATGGAAGGGGATTCAGGGAAACAGAGTTTCCAGCTTAACCAAGTGGATATGTCACAACAGGGAATAGCATATGGAAGGGTCTTGAGAAGGAAATCAACTTGATGTGCTTGCAAGACAGAAAGGAAATGCGGCTGAGGCTCAACAAATCTGGGGGAAGATGGAAAGAGCATGGTCATAGAAGTGGACGGAGCTTAACTTATGGAGGGCTTGACAGGCTGTGGTATGGTTGACTTAATTCTGAATTACAGGATTTTAAGCAAGGTGGTGATATTCTGTGAGTTTTGCTTTAAAAAGATCATTCTGGCTGTCACGAATGGTAAGGAAGCAAGAGAAAAGTTGAGAAAAGGAGGCAGCAGGGAAAATGGAGGATATTGATATAGTCTAGGAAAGAGACAACAATGACCTGGGCTTTGAGTATAAAAATATAGATACGAAGAACTGGTCAGTCAGGCTTTTGATCTTGTTTCTTCAGCATATCTTTTAAGTTCTGAAAACATCCCTCTGTGTATATGAGATGTGGAATATCCTCTGTTGCGAGGAAGGTGCGGCGGAGGAAAATGGTCAGAGAATGGTGGGACTGACACTGAGCACTTTCTGTGCCCAAGATCTATGCTGGGCCTGTTCCTCACAAAAATCTTGAATGAAGAAACTGGTGCACAGGGAGGTAAATAGGGTATGTGAACCAAAGTCACACAGCTAACAGGTGGTGGGCTTCTGATCTTAACCTGGATATCTCAGCATCCAGAATCTTAGCTCTTTCCACAGCATCCTGCTGTCTTTCAGATTAAGGCTCTTGTGAGTAGTCATGTCCACAATCAGCAGCTGCTACCTGCCCAAACATCAAGTGTACCTCAAATGGACCGGGCTAGTATTTTCTGTCCACTTGTGACCTTCTTAGAGACTCCACATTGCATAATACCTCCAGCCCAAATTTCCTGGACTCTTAAATCACTTACCCTATACTTAGATCTCTATCATAACTACTTAAGGTTTTATAATATTTAAACATATGTACTTTTAGCATATGGAAATGAGTTAGAACATTTTTGGTTTCCTGGGTGTATAACTCATTGGAATAGTATTGCCCTGCAGGATTATGAAATAAATTTTCTTCCTCATAACTCTTATAAGTCAGTTTTGTTGTATAGTGTTATTGTCATATTTTCCATAGAGGTTTTTTGTATTTCTTTTTCTGTCCCCAGAGAGCTCTTTAAAGGGCTTTCATTCTTTATCTCAATTACACCTTATCTGAGATAAAAGCAAATGAATAAAGACACATGAGAATTACTGTTAAACATGGCAAGAGTTGAGGTATATGTTCAAGACATTAAAAAAAATCAAGATTTGTTCTGATTAATAGTTCATTTATTGACACCACTGTCTTTTAACAAAGAAAATATTTCAGAGTATAAGGTATATATGCTAATACTGCTTCGAACTTAATTATTTGTTTAGAGAGAATACATGTATATATATATCATAGCTAGCTACTTAGTCAAAACGTATAGTTTCTGGTTATTAGTTATACACTGTCCACTTCACCTGGGTCACAGACTTTCAAATTAGGGAACATTAGATTTTTTCAGAGAAATTACATGGAAGAAGCTACAGAGCTTCATGATTAGATAATATGCTGTTTGAGTGGGATCACCACTTGGCAGCACTGAAAAATCATCTGCAGTGTAAGGAGTGACAGACTTTTGGAAAGTAGGCATATGTTTAAATTCTGGCCAAAGACATCCTCTCCTATACAATTCACTGAACCTCCCTTTTAAGAGTTTTTAAGTCTTTCAGAGGTTCAGTGGGCACCAGCTGTGCCTACATTAATGGGACTTGCTATTCCCTCTAGCTCTTGATATCTTAATACCTTCTTTCTTCATTTGACCCAGTGAGATAATCAATAATCACAATACTTTACAAATTCTGAAAAAAGTTTAACTGACAATGACATTCATATTTACCTAAATGAGTTTTCAAAAGGATCCTTGGGGTTTTTCTGTTAGATTATAGAAAACTGAGGCTGACCAGGAATGACATTAAAGAAAGTTTTGTATAGAGGACAGGTTGAACACTGGTTCATCATTAAAGCTCCTTCTCATTGTAAGATTCTATGATTCTAGGTCTCCTATATATTTTATGAAAACAGTTCAGAATACCGACAAATGTTTAGACATTTCCTTCTTATTTGTTGGAGAGGCCAAGTTAACATCCTGTCATAATAAGATTGTTGCATCACCCCAGATCCCAGTAGGGACAATGGCCTGAATATAATGAGTAAAAGAGGTTACCAGAGTTTGCTCAGTATGGAATAGTCAATAAATAGCCAGCTCCTGCTCTGAGGAGATGGTCTGGTTGCCCTCCTACCTGTAACAACTGCAATTAAGAAACTATTCAAAGCCTATTTCCTCAATATATTAGGCATAATGGCAAATTCTGCTCGTCAAGGAGCTGATAATCTTGTTAGAAACATAAAATAAACTCACACACACAAAAAATAATTAGAAAACAAATGCTCACCTGTGAGGTACAGAGCACAAGTGGAATAGGAGTTTTAAGATTATCCAAGTGTCCAAAAGATTTTAAAAGGCAGTATTGAACTGAG